TGAGCTCTCTGTTCTCTTCCATCAATCTGTCTCTATTCTTTTACCACTACCACACTATTTTAACTAATGTAGCTTTATAGTAAATCCTGGTGTTGTTTTTTTTATCTTTGAGTCATCTCTACACCCAATGTGGCACTCAAACTCACAACCCCAAGACCACACTCTTCTTACTAGGACAGCCAGCTGCCCCAAGCTTTATAGTAAGTCTTGAAGTCAGGCGGTTTCAATCCTCCAACTCTGTTCTTCTCCTTCAATGCTGGGTTGGCTATTCTGGGTCTTTTGTCTCTCCATAGAAACAGGTTGTCAGTATCCACAAAATAAGTTGCTGGAATTTTGACTGCATTGAATCCACTAGCGAGGTTGGGAAGAACTAATATCTTGACAATACTGGGTGTATCCATGAATATTTAATATCTCTCCATTTATGTAGTTGCTTTTTGATCTCATTCATCAGAATTTTCCAGTTTTCCTCATATAGATCTAGTATGTGTTTTGTTGTGCTAATGTAAACAGTATTGTGTTTGCAATTTCAAATTCCATTTGCTCATTGCTAGTGTAAAGGAAAACAACTGTTTCATGGATATGTGCATGCATCAAAACTTGAATTGTACACTTAAAATATGTGCAATTTGATGCATGGCAATTATACCTCAATAAACCTGTTCATTAAGAAAAGCAAACTTAATAGGCAAAAGACTCTAACAAGAAAGATATTGAACATACACTTCATCAAAGATAAATGGATGACAAGTACATGTTCAACATCATTAGTCTTTAAAAACTGTGGGTCAAAAAAAAGAAAAGGAAAAAAAGAGAAAAACTGTGGGTCTACTTTGAAAAAAGACACACACACAAAAAGGAAACTCATTTAAATAATGATTTTCCCGATTTTCTTTGCCAGTACCAATTTTCTTATATGCAATAAGTGAAAATCTATACTATAATACTATCCCAATTTTTTATACTTTTAGATTTCATTTAAATAGCTTTTGTAACAAAAGTTTTTCATTTTTCATTTAGTGGCACCTAGGTGGCTCAGTTGGTTAAGCATCCGACTTTGGCTATGGTAATGATCTCAACAGTTTGTGGGTTCGAGCCCTGCGTCGGGCTCTAGGATTTCTATTTTCATAAAAATATATGGAAGATATTTTCTTTTTTTTTTAATTTTTTTAATGTTTTATTTATTTCTAGGAGAGAGAGAAACAGCGTGAGCAGGGGAGGGTCAGAGAGAGAGGGAGTCACAGACTGAAACAGGCTCCAGGCTCTGAGCTGGCAGTTAGCACAGAGCCTGACGCAGGGCTCGAACCCACAAACCGCGAGATCATGACCTAAGCGAAAGTCGGATGCTTAACCGACTAAGCCACCCAGGCGCCCCATGGAAGCTATTTTCTGAAAGCAGATTGCTTTTCCATTCACAATCTAACATGGCTTATTTCATGTAAAACAAATTAAGCCTTTTCCATAATGCCTTCATTTATAATTTACCATTCCTGTCCAGTGTGAATTGTTTCTTAATAACAAAAAAAGACTTTCCTATATCTCTTTCCCTCTTAGGATCTCTTCTAATGTGTGCATTCAGATTCTCCTGCAAATGAAGGATAAAACAGAAAAATAATCCTACCCTTCTTACGTTTATAAGATTTTTCACACCTGTGAAATCATAACTGAACAGGAAAATATAAGACAGAGCTAAAGGTTTCCTACATTCCTCATAATAAGGTTACCTTCACAATGAATTAGTACATGTTTAATAAGAGAAGTATTAAAGGCTTTCAAACATTCCCTGCAAAAATAACTTTCTCTCGTGTGAATTCTTATGCATTCAGTAAGCATGAAGAAGTACTAAAATTGTCACATTTCTCATCTATATATAGCTTTTCCCCACAGTTGATTGTTAAATGTCAAATAAGATATGTGGGTTGAGTAAAGGCTTTCCCACATTTCTTACATTCAAAAGGTCGTTCACCAGTGTGAGTTCTCATGTGCACTGTAAGGCTTGATGAAATAGTGAAGGCTCTCCCACATTGCTTACATTTATATGGCTTCTCTCCAGTATGTGTTCTTCCATGTTGAGTAAGGTGTGAGGGATATCTAAATGATTTCCCATTCCTCACATTCAAAACGTCCTTCTACACTGTGAATTTTAAAGTTGAATAAGAAATGAGGAACGAATAAAGGCTCTCCCACACTGCTTACAATCATAAGGTTTCATTTCAGGGTGAGTTTGCATGTGACTTTCAAAGCAAGATAAGGTACCAAAGGCTTTCTTTTCCACATTCCTTACATTGATAAGGCTTCTCACCAGTATGAGTTCTTATATGTAAGATATGATGACCTAGCAAATGCTTTTCCACATTCCTTACATTGATAAGGCTTCTCTCCAGTGTAAGTTCTTCTGTGTTTTATGAGACCTAAAGAATCAGTGAAGGTTTTCTCACATTTACTACACTCACGGTTTTTCTCCAGTGTGAACTCGCATGTGAATTCAGTTTTGATAAACAAGTAAACTCTTTACTACATTCCTTGCAAACAGTGTTTCTCTCTAGTATAAAACTGTCCTGTTTGGCAAGATCTGGGGAACAAGTTAAGGCCTTCTCAAATCTCTTACATTCCATAGGCATTAGTTCCCTTTGAGTTCTTAAATGCTGAATAAGATACCAAGATCAACAAATGGTTTTCCCACATTCTTTAGACTTGTAGGACTTTTTTCCTATTGTGAATCTGAACATGTACGAAAAGACTTGTAGAAAGAGAAAAAGCTTTCCCACATTTCTTGAAAGCATATGGCCTGTCTCCACTATGAATTCTTAACTCCTCTAAGGTGTGAGGAAAAAGGCCTTTCTGAAAGTCCACTTATAGGATTTCTTTGGAGTATGTTTTCTTGTGAACCAGATGTGGATTTTGGCTTAAAGTGTTTCACATTGATTATAGTTAGGAGGTTTCTCTCCATTATTGGTTTTGTTGTGTGGATTAAGGGTAGAGTTCTTTGTGAAGGCTTTTACACACTGATCACACACGTTTTCTTTCTATTGTGAGTTCTCTTGCAGTCTTAAAGCAGAAGTGTTCACTCAAGGCTTCTTCCCAATGACTGAAATTAAACAATTCCTCTCCAATATGTTTCTCTCCTGTTGACGAAGAGATTAGTGATGTTTTATAAAAGTTTTCCAGCTTTATTACTTTCAGAGATCCTCCCCTCTGTCTTTCATTGTTATAGTATACAGGAAACTAATCAGCATGACTGAAGTTTTTTGTTTTCTCTTCCATTTTCACTGCATGCAATGCATAGTTCCAGACCTGAGTGCTTCCAAGCAGACTGCAGAGACCATTCTGCTAAAATATTATTTTGTAATATTTCTTTTTCTTTTGTAGTCTTTACTTTCACAGGGATTCTTAGGAAAGTTTAGCTGATAATTGATCAAGATAAAATTATTTACCAAAATCTTTATCTGAATTGTATATATGGAAATACTGAGCTAACACCGTGAGAATATATTTTGGGGAGTGGTTAAAGTGTTTGTCAATTTCACAATGTTCAGAGACTCTATGAAAAACCGTTTCATTTGGGATAAATAACACTAACCCCAAGTGTCTGTTATGGTTTTGTGCTGCTTTTCAATCTAATGGAATTTCCAAACTTCCATTGGTGTGGAAGGCAAGGAATTACACACTGTGAATCTTACCATGTCTACCACATTGGATGTTTTCCCCTGCAAAATATTCTGCTGAGGTATTGACCATTTGGTATTAAGACAAATCTCCCAATCTGAAATAAGATTAAAACAAAATTAAGGTCTTGGAGACAAATGATGTTAAGACGGTGTTAAAATAAAGGCCAATGCCTATTTACTTTCAAAGAATGACAACATAGATTACAATAGAAAAAATAAATGAACATATAAAGATTGAAAAGTCTGGCTACCTTATGAGTTTGGCAAGGAAAATGGGTGCTGGTCAAGCTGGTAGGTGATTCTCTAAGAAATAATTCTATACATGTCAAGACTGATGGTGAAGAGGAAGACTAAGAAAACAAAGTTGAAATATAATGGGTGAAGAACTAAATGCAAAATTTAATGCAGAAACAAATCTTATTGTCAGGTCAAAAGGAAGTTTCAGAATGTGGATGAAAAGTTAAAGAGAAGTCTGAAGTACTCAAGGAGCCTCAGAAACCAAAGGTACCAGCATCTCAGGAAAATCCATCTTCAAAAGCTTCCTATGTAACATTACCAAATGGACTGCAGCTCTCATGGATTCCTGCTGTTTTTCATAGAGAATCATTTACCCTTTTCCCCTGACTTTGCAGAACTTGTCCCACTAGCCTCAGCTTTCCCTTCTGTTCCACCTGAAAGATCAGACCAGGCCTGCATAGCTAGTACCTGGCTCTCAGAGGAAGACGATCTCAAGTGTAGGATGAACATGCAAGGGATGACAAACAGTTCCATAAACCAGGATCAAGATTCGGTTCTGCGGGGACACCAAATACTGTCAGGTGTAACTTGAGAAAGAAAATGTTCACGCCAACTTTATCAAACCAATAAACTTTTGTTTTTTTCAAACCAACAAACTTTCAAATGAAACTAAAATACAAGCACGCACTTTCTCACCGTTCACCAAAAGGGGTGCCGACCTTTCCCCTGAAACCCAGGCTCAAATTTGTATACAAGTTTTTAGGTCCTAAGCCTTTCAATCCATACAGAAAATAAAGCCAGTACAACAAACAGATCTTTGTTTTCAAGAGGAAGTCACTTCAAGGTAAGGTCTAGGAGAGCAGAAACAGCACCTGCTCTTTTTACTACTGCATTGCCATTAGTCAGCACAGAGCCTAGAACGCAGTCACTTAAGCAAGGGGAGCCTACCTGGCTCAGTCGGTAGAGCATGCGACTCTTAATCTCAGGGTCACGGGGTTAAGCCCCACACTGGGCATGGAGCCTACTTTAAAAAACCAAAAACAAAGAAAGTTTTCTTCCAGAAAAAGCTAAATGAAGAGATGGTACCAGCCTTACCTACTGCAACCAGATTCTTGTGGTTCTCCAGCATCTCATCTCTGTACAGGTTTCTCTGATTGGATCCAGCAAAGTCCACTCCTCCTGGGTGAATTCCACAGCCACATCCTCAAGGGTCACTGGATCCTACACCATCACAAACATCCTGGCATCACGCAATCTGCCACGTAAATCAGTGTTCACTGGAGAAAGAGAACGGGAGACCCAAAGCTTAGACAGGGTTCCGTGTTGTCCCATCATCTCTTCCAGGGCTTGATGGTCCTCATACCCATTCTCTTCTCGACCTCTACCAGTGACATACTCGTTGGTGACCTCATCCACTCACGTAGCTTTTAAGAGCACGTCTTTCACCTGGCTGCACGTGTCTCCCCACAACCACACTGTACTCTTTTCTAGTCTCATTATGCTCTAATGACAGGACTTACCATGGTCTGAACACATTACAGACACAGTAAATGCTGGCAATGTGTGAACCATTACTTCAGGGACAGCACAAATTCTGAAAAACACAGGTCCCCTCCCTCATAGAGTATCACAGCAAGACGAGAGCACACAATCAGCATGAATGAGAGGTGGAGTGAATCAGTAAATACTGAGATAATAGTGTCATTTCCTTATCTCATTTGTTAACACAAAAAACATCCTGAACCCTGAGGAAATTGAACTGAGCACTCAGTCCGTGTATAGGGCCTAAATGCACCAAGAAACTCTTGTTCCATCAGAAGAAAACATGTCTACCTGGTAGGAAGAACATGTACTTTTATAAAAGAATGAATGTCCTACTTACCCGAGAATAATTTGTCAGACACCCAGTCGCTGTCCTTTCTCCTACTGATTTCTCCTCATGAAGACAGAAAAAAGTCTTGGGAAAGATGACCTTGGGGAGAAGAAATAAAACCTGAGAACCCAGGCTGCTCGAAGTCTCCACACAGAAGCCTGGAAGCCACTCCACACTGATTCTAAGCTCCTGGGCAGCCTGCCTCATCTGGAATCAGGAGGGTTTGGGCTTAGGGAGGAAGAGTTTAATAATCCCAGTTTATAGATGAAGATATTTAAAGTTTAGAGAGGTAAAGATGTTGTTTTCTTTTCAAGTTTATTTATTTCTTTTGAGAGAGAGACAAACAGAAAGAGACAGAGAGAGAGAGAGAAAGTGGGGCAGGGGCAGAGCTAGGGAGAGAGGATCCCAGCAGATTGCACCACCAGCGCAGAGCCCAATGTGGGGCTAGAACTCATGAACCGTGAGATCATGACCTGAGCTGAAGTTGGACACTTAACTGACTGAGCCACCCGGGTGCCCCAAAGTTGGTTTCTTTGGACAATTATCGTGATTCTCAGGTTGATTAAGCAGAACGTCTCCCACAAAAATATTCATCCTCATCCTTTCTTCCCAAATCTAAGGATTCAGACACCATGGTGTTCTTATGCACTTAAGCCCTCTCTGAGACACCACACAAATAGGACTCCTTAGACCTTGACAAGCCAGGCTGTTCACAGGCCAACTGAAAGCAGTCTCTGACGGGAGCATCAACAAGGACTTACCATAGGAGGAAAGATCAATGGCTGGCATCCTGTGGGTATGACAGTAAAATCTGCTTGAGCCCTTCTCATTCCCAATGTCCTTCAAGACAGTGTCTGCGCTGGGTGGATAAGTCCATCTCAATTCCTCTTGATTAAGTAGCAGTGGATTCTCGCCACATACCATCAAATATTAACCACTAGGCATTACTCAGCTATCATGAGGCTTTGTTCATTAGTCAGCGCTGCAGAAGGTGAAGTTATATTACATAAAAGCCGCCAGAAACTGTAGAGTAATATACCACATGAATATAAATGACAATTGCCATTTCCTGAGTACCTGTTATGTGCCACAAGCTGTGGTAGCTCAAAGGATTATCAACATGGTTATTATTACCATCATTTAACAGTCGAGGCAACCTGGGTTGAGACAGGAGCAGTGACCAATTAGGAAGAGTCCGAATCTGAATACAGGTTACTCCATCTCATAAGCCTGAACGTCTGAAGTTATTGTTACTCTCTAACATATCTGGACGACCCTCATGAGATGGTGTGCAACAACTGAGTAACCCAGGTCTGGGTTGCTCAAATCCTGCACTTTCCTGAGAAAGGCTTATCTTCAGACCTACTCTTGGCTGGGCTTGTGGGAGAGGTCCATGGAATATCCTGCCTGATAAGAATGTTTTGTATGCCTGAGTCCTTGTGGCCACAGATACTCTGACCAGATAGTTTATGCTAACAATGTGATTTATGGTAAACATGCTTTTATATGCCTGCAGCTTCGGGCAGTGTTCTTCTAACAGTCTGATCTCAGTCTGGAGCCTAAGTGCCTGAAGTCAGCCATGCAGGTGGTGTGTGCCTATAGGACTGACCCACAATAAAAACTTAGGACACCAAAGCTCAGGTGTTATAGATTGAATGTTTTCATCTCCGTGCATCTTCATGTATGAAACTTAAATCCTCAGTGTGATGGTTTTTGGAGGTGAGGACGTTGAGCGGTAATTATGGGTTTAGTGCCCTTGTGAAAGAGACCCCAGAGGGTTACCTTGCCTCTTCTGTCATGTGATGACACAGTGAGGACTGCCTTTACTAACCAGTAAGGAGGTCCTCCCCTGACACCAAATCTGCTGGCATCTTTTGATTTTTCCCAGTCTTCAGAACTGTCAGAAATTTCTGTTGTTTATAAACAGCCACACAATCCGTAGTATTTTTGTGACCGCAGCCCAACTGAACAGCCTTCTGTATCAGGTGAGCTTCCTTGGTAGGCAATACTTCACATGTGATGCAACACATCATTACTAGGATTACGCAATGCCCATTTGACTGCACTGGGAAAACACACCTGGATACCTGTGCCTGGTGGTTCCTGGAATTAATCCCATATGTCTGATCTATCCCTTTGCCGATTCTAATCTGTATCCTTTGGTTGTAATAAACCGTAATGTGTTTAGCAGCAGGAGTTTTGTGAGTCCTACAGCATCGCAGAGCAGGAGGGTGGTCTTGAGGACCCCCAGCACAAACGGTTTATTCATTCAGACGTCTTTGAGCTCTGCCAGCTGGCAAAAACACCCAGCCCCGGTTGCCTCCTTTCGAGTTCTTATATCAGCTTATGCCTTCATCCAATATGCAAATATTTATTTAGGTCCTTCTCTTTGCTACATAATACAGTAGGCATTGAGGAGAGTGCAGGAACAGAAAATGCCCCCCATACTTTAGTCTTTTTCACATTCCAAGGGCCAAGCAGGTAATAAACACAGAAATTTGTATTCTATCAGTTGGTGATGAATGCTAGGGAAAAAAAAATATGAACAGATCAGGAATATTATCCTCTGCCTCCCCCAACACACACATACACACACCTCCAAGGATATTTCTCAGTAAACTTAGGACTAGCAGTGGGAAAGATAAAGACAGAACAGGAAAACAATCATTTCAGAAGACTCTTGAAAACTGACATCTGACTTGCCTTTTTGAGGCCAGTGATATTCAACTTTCGATCCAAAGCGATAGCATAATTCAAACAAGCAAAATATACAAAATAAACTCAGAATACATTTCAAATACTGCTCTACTTCAATTGGGAATCAGCTTAGAAACAGCTCACATAAGAGATGTGATCCTCTCCCCTAGGTTTTATGGGTGTAAAATGTACAGAGTAGGTGGAGTTCTAAATCAGACTGTGCCCAAGTCTATTTTTCTTCCGCAAAAACCTCACCTCTTTTTCTTTTTCATTAAATTTTGCCTTTTTTATTCCTTCCTTACCTATGCTTTATGTTCATTTTGTTGGTCCTTTTGAGCACTTGGAAATTATAGCTGAGTTCATTTCTCAAACATTTTATTGAAGTATACATTCAAACAAGTGCAGGCTTACAATGTACAGGACATTACCATGAATTTCTTGACCCCTGAAGCACTCATATGCCTCATCTAAATTACCTCTTTCTCCTCTCCAAATGGAAGCACTATTCTGCCCTGTAAAAATGTAATTCTGCCTATTTTTGAACTTTGTATCAAATCATATGGTTTGCATTAATTGGTGTCTAGCATTTGCTATTCAGTATCCTAGGCCCAGCCTCAGAGTTCCTTGTAAAGTCTAGTTTTAGCATGAACTCTGCTAATTAAGTCAGTTTAACTAGAACTGTCAATACATGATCACCCTCTAATATCTGATCAGGCTCCTCATCCTCTACCACTTCCCAGGTGATATCTCATCAAACTATTATTTACTTTTGAAAGAGAAAGAGTGCAAGAGGAGGAGAAGGGAAGGGAGGGTGACAGGGAGGGAGGAAGGGTGAGAGAGAGAATGAATCTGAAGCAGGCTACAGGCTCTGAGCTGGCTGTCAGCACAGAGCCCGATGCGGGGCTCGAACCCAGAACCACAAGATCATGACCCAAGCAAAAGTTGGACGCTTAACCGACTAAGCCACCCAGGCGCCCCTTATTGATTTATTTTTGAAAGAGAGAGACAGAGTGCAAGAGGGGGAGAAGGGAAGGGAGGGGGGAGAGGGAGGGAGGAACGGTGAGAGAATGAATCTGAAGCAGGCTACAGGCTCTGAGCTGGCTGTCAGCACAGAGCCCGATGCGGGGCTCGAACCCAGAACCACAAGATCATGACCCAAGCAAAAGTTGGACGCTTAACCGACTAAGCCACCCAGGCGCCCCTTATTGATTTATTTTTGAAAGAGAGAGACAGAGTGCAAGAGGGGGAGAAGGGAAGGGAGGGGGGAGAGGGAGGGAGGAACGGTGAGAGAATGAATCTGAAGCAGGCTCCAGGCTCCCAGCTGTCAGCACAGAGCTCATCACAGGGATTGAATTGATGAGCTGTGAGATGAGGCTGAGCTCAGGTGGGACACTTAATTGACTGTGCCTCTCAGGTTCCCGTCTTTTTTTTTTTTTTTAAGTTTATTTATTTTGAGACAGAGACAGCAAGAGTGGAGGAGTGGGAGGGAGAGAGGGATAAGGAGAGAAGGAATCCCAAGCAAGCTCCGTGCTGCGCAGTGACTGGTGCAGGGATGGAACCCATGAAACTGTGAGGTCATGACCTGAGCCAAAACCAAGAGTTGGACACTGAACCAACTGAGCTACCCAGGCAACCACTGATCTGTCTTTAGTAAGAATCCTGTTAGGTCATTTGGCCAGAATGCCCCTTACCTCTGATGTTTCCTCTTAGCAATTTTCTATTCATTAACCCCCATTCTGGTGTCTACCTATAGACTTCCACTTGCGTATGCAGTACTCAGTTGGAGTTGAGCCCGAGCTCTCCCTACGTTGTAAAATCCCATTGCAGTCATCCCTACAGCTATCTCAATGCTCCTGAGAAAAGTCTGCCTTACTATCTTTAACAAATGTTGCTGAATATTTTTTTCTTTAACACTTTGGCTAAATCTCCACGTAGTCATAATACTCAGTTCCCTAAAACATTCCATATTAGACACAGATGCTCTAACATAGTGGATGATAAGTTAAAATTCAGTCTTTAGCAGTCACAGATTGGCTTATTAAAATGTAACCCCATGGACCCCCAGGTAAAATAGTTAATAGGGTCAATGAAATTTACAACAGGGTCTTCAAGGGTAAAAACTTATGATATAAAGCCTAATTAATAAAGGGGTGATTATTCCCAACAACTTTTCCATTTGACAGCCCAATTTTGCCTCTTCATAAACCCGGAGTGGAGAAAAGGTGCCTTATGATGTATTACTATAACTGTAACTCTGTGGTTCCATCCATGAGGTGCCCCATACCCAACTTCAATATTACTAAAAATCGTGGCTCCATTCAATCAAAAATCAGTAAATATTTTGTTCCTGGGCTAACATGTTCTGTTCAGTGCCGATTTACAATAGGCTCTCAAGCTGCAATTTGCCTTCACCTCTGAAATGTATCAAACTGATCACCTAATCATGCAGAGAAAAGACTCATGAGTTCATGCAACTGTTTGAGCAGGGTATTCTGAACTTTATATCCTTAATATAAACCCGTAAGGACAAAAAACAAATGTAAAGAAACTTAACAGTTTACGAAGTCTAATGTTGACAGTAACACTGGTATTGCATTTTTTGAAACTACTATACACAAACTGTAGGATAAAACAGTATGTTAAGCTATTAGGAACCAACAGCATTTCCTACAACAGCAAAGAGTTACAAGTATAAAACAAGAGTTAAGCAAAAAACCCCACACCAAACCCAGAATATTAAGCTTTGCCTGGGAACATGAGTATGAACTTAAGACGTAAGGAAACACGTATTTTACATCCACTGAAAGGTCCAGACATGATTATACCCAAGCAGCACCAAGCCCATGAATCATAGACCCTGACGTCTAAAAGGAAACAAGCTTTTTGGAGAAGTCATTGGTGACAGGTCTGAAACAAAGTACACAGTGAAGTGAGGGTTTATTTTACACTTAAAGACTAACAGCCTTGTGTTTAAAGACTAATAGGATTCACATTGAAGAGACAACGATTCAGAAGGCACACTTGGGACAGGTTTAGCATCAAAATAAATGACAAGAACGGATTTTAAAATAGTGAATGAAAGAAAAGCCCAAGAATATGAAGTGATACTCCAGAACGGAAAAAAAAAAGTAGAGAAGGGGCGCCTGGGTGGCTTAGTCGGTTAAGCGTCCGACTTTCGCTTAGGTCATGATCTCGCGGTTCGTGGGTTCGAGCCCCGCGTCGGGCTCTGTGCTGACTGCCAGCTCAGAGCCTGGAGCCTGTTTCATTCTGTGACTCCCTCT